TTCTCCTGCCTCAGCCTCCTGAGTAGCTGGGATTACAGGCACGCGCCACCATGCCCAGCTAATTTTTTGTAGCTTTAGTAGAGACGGGGTTTCACCGTGTTGACCAGGATGGTCTCGATCTCTTGACCTCGTGATCCACCCGCCTCGGCCTCCCAAAGTGCTGGGATTACAGGCTTGAGCCACCGCGCCCGGCTCCAATATAGATATTTTGAAATAACTATAGGTCCACAGGCGGTTGCAGAGATAGTACTGAGAGGGTAGGGGTGACAAGGTATTCTTTAGCAGTTTCCCTCATGGTTACATCTTACATGACTATAGCAAAACCAGGAATTTGATGTTGGTAGTGATAGGCACTGTTCTACAAACTGGAGATAAGAGCAGTGAACAAAATGCAGAAATTTCTGCCCTGCCCTTGTGGGATCTATATTCTAGATATTTGGGGGGTGGGGTTAGACAAGTAAAATATATATTTGATGGTGAGCACAGTGGTTAAATAAAGCAAGGAAAGGGATAGGTATATGTGGGTGTATTTTCAATATATTAAATTTTTAATTTTTTATTATTTTTTTTCAAGACAGAGTATTGCCCCAGGCTGGAGTGCAGTGGCCTGATCTCAGCTCGCTGCAACCTCTGCCTCCGGGGTTCAAGCAGTTCTCTTGCCTCAGCCTCCTGAGTAGCTGAGTAGGGCGCGTACCACCACACCTGGCTAATTTTTGCATTTTTAGTAGAAATAAGGTTTTATGCTGGCCAGGGTAGTCTTGAACTCCTGACCTCGTGATCCACCCACCTTAGCCTCCCAAAGTGCTGGGATTATAGGCATGTACCACTGCACCCAGCCTGTTTTCAATATTTTATAAGGAAAATTTTCTAACATTCAGAGAAGGTAAAAGAATGACACCTAGAACACCGATGTCTACCATGTTACTACATTTGTGTGAGTGTGTTTCTATAGTTTTAAGTACAGTGGTTAAGGAAGCTCTTGCTGAGAAGGCAAAGTTGAATGAAGAAAGACCTTAATGAGTTGAAAGAGAGCTCTGTGGAGTTCTGGGGACCAGGCACAGCAAGTGCAAAGATCCTGAAGCAGGAGCATTCTTGCTGTGTTCAAGGAAGCAAGGAGGCCAGTGAGGCTGGAAAAGGGAATGAGGTCTGAGTGATAATAGGGTGAGAGAATGGCTGGGGGATGGGAGCATGGGGAGGTAGGGCCTATGGTTTCTGCTTGGCGAGGTGGGAAGCCGCTGGAGGGGTTTAAGCCAATAATTGATGTAACATAATTTATGTTTTCATAATACCTATGTGACTGCTCCTGGGGAATAGACAGAAGGGACTGAGTGGCTAGGAAGCAGATTCAGCTAGAAGAGATGATGCCTTCGACTAAGGTGCTGGAGAAGTGGGTGGATTCTAGATAATTTTTGAAGGTGGAGTTGGCAGAATTTGAAGATCATTCTATTTCTGTTCATACAGAGCTTCCTCATTCTCGTTGACAGCTGCCTAAAATCTTATTGTATCATAATGTTTTAAACTAGTCCCTTATGATGAATATTTAGGTTGATGCTCCATCTTTTGCTGCCACAAAACAGGCATGTTTATATAAATGACGTGTACATGTTGTTTTTCATGTAAGTAAATATTTGTAGAATAAATTCCAAGAAGCAGAAATGCTGGGTTCTTTCTTGGATATTGTATCAATTTTTGCTCCCACCAGGAGTAGGGATGTTTCCCCAAACCTTCGTCAAAGTGTGTTCACAGTTAACTTTGTGATCTTTGCCAGTATGTTAAATGGAAATTGGCACATCAATATGTTTTAATTTACATTATTCTTGTGAGAGAGCTTGAGCCTCTTTTTACATGTTTAAGATCTTTTTGCCAGCCTGGCCAACATAGTGAAACCCCATCTCTATAAAAATACAAAAATTAAATTAGCCAGGCATGATGGTAGGTACCTGTAATCTCAGCTACTCAGGAGACCGAGGTGGGAGAATCGCTTGAATCTGGGCGGCGGAGGTTGCAGTGAGCCGGTATCATACCATTTTACTCCAGCCTGGACGACAGAGTGAGACCCTGTCTCAAACAAACAAACAAAAACCTCTTTGAATTTTGTTTTTTGTGGAATGTTCACATCCTTTGCCTGTTAAGTTGATTTTGTGTTCTCAGTTCACAGCTCTGTATATTAGGAACATTAGCCCTTTTTAACCAGAGTTGCATTTTTTTAGCAGTTCATTTGTCTTTTGATTTTTAGTGGGGTTTTTTTTTTGCCATGCTGAAAATTTAATTTTCATTAGTTGAATTGAATATTTAAAAGCTCCTGGATTTGGGATAGTATTTTATTAAAGGGCTTGGAAGATTATTGGATTATTTTCACATTTTTGCTGACATTTTTTTTTTTTTTTTTTTT